GTGCCTGCCTCACAAGCGCAAGGTCCTGAGTTCAATCCCCGGTACTGAAAAAAACAAAACAAAACAAAAAACCCAGTGCTGTAATAACCATGGACTAGCCAGTGTCTCTTCAACATACTGATTTTATTTTCTTTGGGTATATCCCCAGGAGTGGGATGGGTGGATCATATGATAGTTCTATTTGGTTTTTTTTGGTACCGGGGATCAAACTTGGGACCTTGTGCTTTTGAGGCAGGCGGCGAAACCACTGAGCTAAATCCCTTGACCATTATAGTTCTATTTTTAATTAACTGGGGAACTTTATGCTGCTTTCCATAGTGATTCTGTTATTTTTTTTAATTTTTTTTTTAAATAAGGTACTGGGACCTAAACATTTTGTTTAAAATTCCACCAATTGTATCTTACACATAGTGGGTACACAGTACGTATCAACTGAACTGAAAATAAACAGTCTATAAGATGTGCTTGCAAAATGTGTAATGCTGTAGTAATAAAGTACAATTTTCAAATATGAGTTTTTGTCTGTCAGATTGTTTAAAAGCCTTTAAGAATATGATATGCACAAGCTTGCCCTGAGGGAAAAGTAAGATGGAATATAGGTTGTAAAATCTGCACATATTTCCACAATAGCATTTGGAAACTGGAAAAGAGCAAATAGTTGTGGAAAAAACCTGAATGAACATATTACTAAAAATTCAGTTCCTTCACAACTACCTGAAGGAAAATTTAAAGCACCTTTTCTCTAGCCTTATTACAATATGAAATGTATGAATTATATAGGCCTTGATCTTCAGAAACTTAAGAAAACTTCAAGTTATAAGCCAAAATGTTATCAGAAAAAGAAAAACTTGGTATAAAATTACTACTGTAAGGCCACTGTTTAAAGTTCTTCCATTACAGACACTATACAATTCAGATACTTTTGTCTTTATTACATAAACAAAACTTTTGAACATATAAATGTCTGGATATAACTTGGTTAAGTTCTCTAGATGAAACCATGGTCAGAGAAAAATGCAACAACAAATAATGCCCTTCAAGTGATTCTATTCAAACTTTTTGCAAAAGGAACGGTAGTTAATACAACCTTTAAATTGAATACTGTAATTTAAAAGCAATTGTTAAGTGTAAAAAAGTTGCAACATTCCACTACTGAAAAATAAAGTTATTTTATCAAGAAAAATTACAGTGTTAGTGCCTTAGTGCCAATTCTAACTCCTGACAAAAAGAGATGCTCCCAGATATCTTCCTGTAGTGGCCTTTCCTTTTGCAATAATTCCAGATTAGGTTTCTGTGGCAACTTTCGTATATTCCTTTTCTTTCCCTGGTGACCTGTCCCTGAATTTATTAGTGATACATCCCATTGGACCAGCAAATCGTAAACACTGATATTTAGCCTGAATGTATAAGCTCTTCTGTACCAGGTCTGATTTATATTGGGGCTGGAATCTGCCACCTCTAAAGTAACTCTTAAAAGGTCTTTTAACGCTTTGCTGGTTTCTCTCAACGCCAGATGATTTCTGAGTAATATCTTTTCTCTGCATAGTATAATTCATGTAAGGTTGCTGAATAAATTTTCTAAAATTAGTTTTTATAAAATATGTAGGTTTCTGGAATCCATCAGTATGAATATTCTTCACCTTTGAAAAACTGGAATGCTGATCATTCCTCTCCGTAGCACTAGCTATGTGAAAAATGTGCTTATCTTCATTCTGTCACCACCCATTTCTCCTCCTTTCAATGTCATGTCGTAGGTCATTGGGATCTACTACTTTGACCAGAGTCTGATCTGATTCATATAGCATAGTTTGTTTATCCGAAGCTCTGCCAAAGATATATCTATTCTCCTGTGAATTTCTGGATCTGAATTCAATTGACTTTCTTTTACATCTGTATTGTGCATGTCTTGCATTTTTGAAAAACATTCATGTAGAGTAATGTTAGTTTATGGAAAATAATTTGCTTTAACTTGATGAATTATTATGATTTCCTGAGAACGTTCTCCTGTAGATTTGTTTTCATTATTCTGAGGTGAATCGAGATGTTCAAACACTGGATGAAAGTTCTAAGTTTTCCTGGATGGATCTACATTTTTCTTCACATCTACTTTAGCTGTAAGTGATTTCTTCCCAAGACTGACAGGTGAGGGTTTCACATTGGCAAGGTTCTGACTTGTATCCGGTAGGTTACTGTAAGAGTTGTTCTCTTTTCTGCAGTCTTCTTCTTTCTTTATTTTTTTCTTCCATTTGTCATTAGAGGGCTTCAAATTAACTTCATTTTTATTTGAATGAGCACAGGGAATGCAGTCTTTCTTAGGTGGTTTAATAGGATCTTTGACTAGCCCACCTTCAGTCTCTCTGCCTCCCCCAGCATTAAAACAATCTGACTCTTTATTTACAGGGCTTTTTGGAGAATATTTTCTATCTTCTTCTTTCAAGTATTTCTGAGTTCTCCCATCAGCAAAGTCCTGGTCATCATCCGAGAGCTTATGCTTGTGGTGATAGTCACAGGACACTTTGGTTGCTGAACTTATCTCTGGATGTTCCCTCTCAGCATATCGATGAGCTTGGGGTCCAAAGTTCCGCTGATTCTTCTTCTCTTGGTAAGGTGGAAAAGAATGCTCAGGCTTCCACTTTGGGTTCCTGGCAGGCTCTCTGCTTTTGTATCTCTCCATGTCTAAAAAGAACTAATTCTTTTTGATGTGTGTCCATATTTTCTGAAATCACGATCCTCAGGATACCTCTTATGAAAAGAGCTTCTTGTGTCAAAGTCTTCTGGGCCTCTTCTAGGTGACTGGAAATATTTTTCTTCTTGGATCTTCTGGTGTCTGAACTCATCTTCATGCCACTTTCCTTCAAATGTAAAGGAATCTGTGATTGACCTCCTTCCTCCCCGACTTCCTCTCACTCTATAATTATCAGGAATATACCTCCCTTGCATTTTCTGGGGATAAGGATTCCTCTCATGCTCTTGGTAGGGTACACCTTCTGAGTATGGGGGCATATACTGAGGTCTTCTGTTGTCATCCCGTCTTCCAGGCGAGTATACTCGGTGAGGCTTATATGTGTAAACATTGTCAAAAGAGTTTCTTACGTCTGGGGAAGGTGATCTATATTCATAAGATCTATGATAGAAATTTCCGTGAGGGGGAATCTTTGTTTTACTCTGTCCATGTTTCTCATTGTCCATTCTCCAAGTATTGGGTCTTCTCAGATCTTTTCTATATTCACAGACATAATGCTCAGAAGGATATCTTTGCTTGTAGTCGTCAAAATTTCTAGGTACTGGTGATAAAGATCTGTGTTTCCACCTGGGGGATGGAGATAGTGACCATGCCATCCTTCGACCCATGAGCCACTATGTACTTTTTATACTAGCACGCTCACGCTCGAGGCCCTGGGTCCTTCTATTCACTGGCCAGGATGTCCCCGCCGCCATCACCACCAGTACTTGTTATCTTTCGTCTTTTTGACAATAGCCATTACTGCTGGAATGCAGTAATATCTTACTGTGGTTCTGATTTATATTCTCTGATCTTTTATGATGTTGAGAATTTTTTCTTTTTTTCTTTTTGGTACTGGGGATCGAACTCTGGACCTTACGCTCGTGAACCAGGCAGCAGCACCACTGAGCTAAAACCCCGGCTCAAGAATTTTTTCATATACAAGTCATTTTCTTATACATCATCTCATTTGAGACATTTTTTTTTGTACTGAGGATTGAATCCAGGACCTCAAGTATGCTAAGCAAGTGCTGTACCGCTGAGCTACATTCCCACTTTTCTCTTTAAAAATTTATTTTGAGATAAGATCTCCCTAAGTTGCCTAGGCTGGCCTTGAACTCGTGATCCTCCTGCCTCAGTCTCCCTTGTAGCTGGGATTACAAGTGTTTGCCACCACGCCCAGCTTTGAAGGTAAGGTGAATGTTCCATGCTTGGTGACATAAACCTCTAATCCCAGCTAATCTGGAGGCTGAGACAGGAGGATTGCAAATTTGAAGCTAACCTGGGCAATTTAGCAAGGTCCTGTCTCTCACACACACACACACACACAGAGGCACACATCAGAAAACAAAATACAAACAAACATGCTGGGGATGTAGCTCAGTGCTCCCTGAGTTCAATCCCCAGTGCTGGAAAAACATTTCTTGACATAGACGATGCTACTTTCATCCTATGCCTGAGGACACAGAGTCTGGAATGGTTCAGTGGTCACTGGAGATCTCAGCTAGTGAGCAGCAGAAGGGGCACCAGGCTGGCTCTTAGCCTGTAGTCATGCCCCCTCCACACTCCTCTGTCAGCTCTCCATAGCACGTGACAGGCATGGTTCCCATGAATGATGCTTTCTAGTTTGTATCCTGCAATGCAATATTAGAGTCTCATGTACACCCCACATTATACTTGCTAATGTGTTCATGTTACCACTTGATTGTATATGACAGTGTTTCCCAAACTTGGCTAGTCATTACTACTTAGCATTTGATGAATACAGATTTCCAGCCTCTTCCTTTGAGGTTCGATTTTTCAGATCTAGATAAACCTGCATTATTTTAAAATTTTTATGTTGTTTTGAGAAGTGGTCTCACTTGCTATGTTGCTCAGGCTGGTCTTGAGCTCCTGGACTCAAGTGATCCTCCTGCCTCACCCTCTTGTGTAGCTGGGACTGTAGGTGCCTACCATGGGACCCAGCTGAATCTGTATTTTTAGTAGCATCTGATCATTACTATTAGTTATGAGATTGCCTTGAACTTTGAAAGCTGTTTACTTACTATGGTTTCTAACCTATCTGACTCGCCATGGTTCTGAATGGTGAAGAACTCTGAAAGAATAAGAGGGTTTGTTTCAGAGACAAGAGTGCAGTGAGATGCTGGGAATCAGTGTAGTGGGAGTTAGGACTTCAGGAGCAGAAGCTTTGAGGGAGAAGAGAGCATGAGCATTCTCATTGCACCCCACCTGCCCTGTGTGTGAGTGGATCCCTGATGTTTGCTTCTTGTCCCTGCAGAAGCAGCAGGAGCGGGTCTCAGGAGAGCTCATCCTTGGAGCAGGGCTGCACAAGGCCCAGCCTGCGACTCCTGCTGCTGGGGAAACAGCGTGCAGGAAAAAGTGCTACTGGGAACACCATCCTGGGCAGAGCTGCGTTTGACTCCAGGTTCAGCTTGCAGAATGTGACTGTGCGGTGCCAGAGAGAGACTGGGGCTGTTTTAGGGAGGCAGGTGGTGGTCATCGACACGCCTGACATCTTCTCCCCACTAGCCTGTGTCGAAGCCAAACCAGGCAACATGGACCAGTGCTTGGAGCTCTCTGCTCCCGGCCTCCATGCGCTGCTCCTGGTGGTGCCCATCGGAAATTACACTGTGGAGGATGAGCAGACCTTCCAGGGCATCCAGGAGGAGTTTGGGGCAGAGGCCAGCAGGCACATCCTTATAGTCTTCACCAGGAAGGAGGAGCTGGGTGACAACTCACTGCAGGATTACATCGAAAGCAAAGAGTTTCTTAAAGTGTTGGTTGGAAGTGTTGAAGGCCGCTACTGTGCTGTGGACAACAAAGCGGATGAGGGTGAGCGGGCGGCCCAGGTGTTGCAGCTCCTCAGCAAGATCGAGCAGTTGGTGGAGAGTCAAGGACTATGGCACATGAACTTCAGAACCGAAGGCCACCGATTTCAGGCAAGAATTAGCTAGTGAGGAAATGGGCCAGGGCCCCGAGTTGAGGGAACAGGAGGAGATGTTCATCCATAGTCTGGAGTAGGAAGAGGGGTCAGACTCTGGGTCACTTCAGTGTCAGCAGAATGACTTCTGACTTCAGCCTTTGTCTTATGTAATCCCTTGTATTAATGGATACACAAATGAATCTAGACTATTTCTTCCCCTGTCTTCACTGAAATCACCCTTTATGTTTTTTTCTCCTCTCCTTCTAGTGACTCTAAAGAGTGCTGAGTCTTCCTGCAGTCTTTGGCTTTAACAGCTGAGGCTGTTCTTGGGGCTTCATTCTGGCCCTTGTTCCACTCTTTGTTTTCTTACCAGTTGATCCCATGTTATTAATCCCTTCAGACTGCATGCCTTGGTCCGAAGTGAGTAACTCTAGCCCAGCTCCTGCAGTTCCAACTCCTTTACCCAGTCACCCTTTGGCGTCTCCAATGGAATCTCTTATCCTGTCTTACACTTACCCTGCCCAAGGTTTGAGACTTTCCTCTTAAACCTCTTAAGACTTCAGATTCCCGCTTTACTCAGCAAGCGGTGATACTGTCCACCCAATTTCTTCACACTGAAGCCCAGAGGTCAGCTTTGATACCATGGCCAGCTCTCATTGATAGATCACCAAGTCTTGTGCAACTAGCATTCCCGATTTCCAACTTCTGATCTCCATCCCCACAACCACCATCTGGTCCAAGCCAGTGTCCTTTCTTGCCTGTGCTATTTTAATCTGCTGATGACTCTCTCTATGCTCATTCTTGGCCCTTATCTCTCAATCCATTTCACTCACAATAGCCAGGGTGATACTTCATGTGATGTTTTTTAAGGTAAAGGAAAATGTACAATATTTGCAACTAAGTTGAGGTTCCAGAATGCAGGTTTATCCTTTAAGGAGCTGACACTACAACTGAGAGACTTCTGCCTAGAAGCCCAGCACCCAGCCGCTCAGTGTAGGCAGGGAATGTTGGTACAGATGCACCTGAGCCTAGGTGTCAGAGGGTGAAAAGCCAGTGCAAGGTGAGCCAGGGAAAGAAAGTTTTGCTTGGAGAGACTTTTGGTTCTCTCTCTTTTTTTTGTTTTTGGTCCTTTTTTTTTTCAGGACCTTGAAGTTGCAAGGCAAGGTACTGCTGAGCTAAATCCCTGACCTGCAGAGACTTTTTAGAGGTGATAAATAATAAGACCAAACAGGATGGAAATAAGAGAGCAATTGGCACTTATTGAGCACCTACTAAATTCCAGACATACTTGACCAGCCCTTCCCAACAACTCTGTGTAAAGATGACCTGCAGTGGCAGTAGTGTCAAAGCTCAGGAAACTGAGCAATGTAAGGTGAAAGAAATCTGGTAATCAGAGCTAAATAGAGAGGACCCAGGGAGAAAGATGACTGAAGGTTCAACGATTTGGGGGGATGTCAGGAAAGAAAGCAGAGGGAGATTTCCTTGGCTGATATGGGGGAAATAACAAAGATAAGATTAGAGCCAGGTGTGGTGGTACACGCTTGTAATCCCTGCACTCTGGGAGGCTGAGGCAGGAGGATTATAAGCTTTGGTCTTACCTGGGCAATTTATTGAGATCCTGTCTCAAAATGAAAAAATCAGAAAGGACTGGAGGTGTGGCTCAGTGCAAAGTTCCTGGCTTCAAACCCCAGTAACGCAAAAAAAAAAAAAAAAAAAAAAAAATTGAAGTCTAGGATGTGTCTGAGAACAGCGGAAGAGAAAATCCCTCAAGATAGTGTATCACTATTTTTATTTGGGGGAAGCAATTACATGGATTCACAAGCCAGGAGGAAGAGATGTCAGTCCTGGGTTTGATTTTCTGTCCTGTTGTCTCCATCTGCCCACCTGATGGACCTCATGTCAGAAGTTTTAACTCCATACTGGGGGGCAGCAAGAGAAAGAGACACTGGAGAGATCTCTACCTCTGGGAACCTGTCACAGTGGCATCAGTGGGGTTTGGGACAGGTCCACAAAGGCCAACTAGGTCCAGGACTGGGACTCTGGTTTGACCACATCCTAATCAGCAGGTTACTCTGCAGTATAAAATTGAATCTCCACTTCTTTACTTTGTGAAGAGATGAGATTATAGATATGCATGCATCATTTCCCACTTTATTTTCTAGGATTGTGTGAATGGAGCTGCCTGTCAGGAGAGGGCTGATCCACGTGGTAAGTCAATCCCTTTAAGATGGAAGGCTTATACCTGCACCCCTGTAAGGCACTATGTGGCCAAAGTGAAGTGGAAGAATTATGCATGTGAATCAGAACCCAAATGCACCTGGAGACCTCATTCACATGGGTGCCCACACCTGTCCCCAGAGAACTCTTGACACTTGTGAGTTGATGCAGCCCCAGCCAAGGTCCTGGACACAGTGCCTGTGTCCCTGGCCTACTCTGATGTGTTATGGACCTGTGTTTGCTTCCTGAGGCTTCTTTCTTAACTCAGTCTCTTCTTCCTGGTCTCAAGTTTTTCTTCCATGGGAAAGCAGAAATGACTTCTTCACGTTCAACGTCAACTTGCAGAGTTCACTGATGGGCAGCAGGTTCTGTGTGGTGGCCACCACCAACCTTATCACCTGCAGCCCTGCAGTGCACGAGAATCCCCTCTTTCCACTTAGGGGATACAATTTCCTCCATAACATAAACACATACAACATACAACCATCCATTCATGGATGGACATTTAGCTTATTTCAGGCCAGTCCGGTGCAAGAACTGAATATTCTGAGTCCCTGTCCTTATAGAACACCCAAAAATAATAAAGCTATCATTTCAATAGCAGCGATAATAATTGCAGTTGACATTCTATCCCAGGAAATGACATATAGATTTATATATAATTCGATCTTCATAGCATATAAAATCATATATATACATACATTAGTCCTCATATGGACCTTGCAAGGAAGGTGTCTTATTATCAATACCTTCTTTTTATAGATGTGAGGTCAGACAGCATTCAAAATTCTATTTGTGCCCTTCAGTCCAAACCCCAAGGACAAACATGCAACTGAATAAAATCGGGTTTAGGGGCTGAAGGTAGTGAGGGCAGAGCCACGTGTAGTGTCCTGGGACATCTCAGAGGCAGAGCACTTTTCATCAGCTCAGGCTAGGGGACTGAACAGAGGTGGGGCTTTGCTCTGGGTGGAGCGCGGTTAGGAGGTGGAAGTAGCCCTATGGCCAGGCTTAGAAATTCTTTTTTTTTTTTTAATTCTTTTATTGGTACATTTTAGGTATACAACACATTTACATTTCTCATTGGGAATTGTACCTTTACATGATCATATTTTTTCCCCATTCCTAGCCCTCCCTTCACGCCCTCCACCCTTCCCTATTTACAAAGACTTTATTTCC